ACACCCCTATTCAAGCTGAGAGGCGTCTTACTCCATCACCGAGGCGCGCACACCCCTTTCATACCCCCTGCAGGGTTAGGAAGGCTTTACTGCCGGGGTAAAGCTAACAAATTTCTAACTGGAGCACCTAGATTGGCACTGTAAGGGGCATCAGACCCACTGGGAGGGCAAATGGAGTCATGCGCTACCCAGATGAAGTAAAGGGAAGTGGATGTGGCCTAGCCTAGAGCAACGAAAGCACTGACCCAAGCAGAGAGTTGCTGGTCCAGAGAAGACACTGCTAAGCAATGCACAGGGCTCTGGAAAGGAGTGAAATGCAAGGAAAAGTGGAAAATTGATTCTTTAATAACATGCAAGCAGCTCTGCAATCCGTTTACCTAACCAAATACATAAGTACAGGCTAGTTTCTAGGCAGTTGCTAGGAAGGATTATAGCTGGAGACCTCCCCTCAGCTTCCCTTCCACATCATTTCTGAAGCACGATTGCCCTCTGGCTGCGAGCCACAGACCATGCAAGCGACGGGAAGCATCCACAGCTCTGCCTTTGTCCCCTGCTGTTTTCTTATTTAGCCAATTACAGGTGAGGCTCCTTATCAGGAGAGCTCATGCTCCCGACTGGGAGACGGCTGCAGCGAGTTCAAACGCGGATCCCTGTATCTGCGGTGCAAGACAATAAACAACCCGCTCTTGGTCCAGCAGTTTCCCTGATGTAGGACGATTCCTGGTGAGGCAGCAGTTTGAAATGTCCCTTACACATTTGATAAAAGGCTTGTGAATAATCTCCTAAAGTGTATTTGTGTTCTGACTGCATGTGCAATGCTTAGATAGGGGCACATGCGTGCACACACACATACACACACTTACTTATAGGGACAAATGTGCATGTGCGCACACACATGCACATGATTTTGTATTTTACCAAAGCAAAATGGTTGGAGCAGCTATTCCAGGCGTGGGCAAAATGTGGCTTGCCAGGCCATTTTCTCCGGCCCGCGGGGCCCCTAAAAAATTTAGAAAATTCATATTTATCTGACCCCTGGCTGCCTGTCATGCGGCCCTTGATGGCTGGCCAAAACCCAGGAACCGGCCCTCTGCCTGAAATAATTGCCCGCCCCTGCTACTCTAAGGTGTCCTAAACTCGGCAAATAAAAACAAATTAGTCCTAGTTTGCAGACCTGGCAGCAAACCACAAAGAGATGCCTTACATGTATTAAGTAGAGGCTATCTTCTGCAATGTGTGTATATCACTTTGCCTTCAAGCCCAAGGAAAAATATCCCCTCGTTTCCTTGAATGCTGCAGGATCACTTCCTAACAATTGTATCTTGAGCTTCTATGCATTGTCCTAAGGTATATGCAGATTATTAATCCTCCTCCTCCTCTTGATCCCCACTGAAAGGGAGTAATTGGCTGCTTAAGCCCCAGCAGGGAGGGCTGCAGGACCACTGTAGAGCATGAGGCAGGCAGGATGACTGATTCTCACTTTTATGAATAAGGGCCCTGCAGAGACCTGCCGGCTTGCACAGAAGTTCCCTCATTGATTTGCCTGGCGCTGCTTCTCCCAGTGGAGGGAAGCAGAATCTAGCTGCTCGGAGTTCATCAAGGCAATTACTGAGAGCACTGTGCCGCTGAGGCAGGCTTCACTTTTGCTAGCACAACAACCCGGGGACCAAGCATCTGTGACACCTGCAGGATAGCAAACTGGAGACCGTCTGCATCCTCAGAGTCCATCTGTGCTTTCGGTCGGTAGCTCATTTCTTTCTCTTTGGTTTTATGCTCTCCTTCTGACCCACCCAGGTAAAACTTGATTCCTTTTTTATCTTGAAAACATGCAACAGCTTGCTAATTATTTTTATTATCGCTGCTCAACTAGAGTTTTCCAAGGATCCTGGGATGCACCAGGATGGAGGCTAAAACTGATAACATCCAAATCCTATTCTAGAGAGCAAAGAAATCTAAGAGAAAGGGAAGCTCAAAGGGAATCACAAAATCTGCCCTAGAGTTATACAAAGTCAAGGTCATTAGAGCTAGCAAGCTCCTTGAAGGCTGGCAAGTCCATTCACCTGCCCGGGCAGCATTGTTCACCTCAGGGCTTTAATTGTGCACTGTCCAACCTCATTTTCAATGATGATCATACATCCTCAGTTCTCCAAACCCCTTTGGAAAGCACCTGCTGAAAAGCTGTTCAATAGCTGATTCAGTTGGGATCAATGAAAGGAAGGCATCTTGTGGAGAGTGCTACATGATCGATGTGATGCGGGGCATAAAACCACGCCAAACTCAACTCAACAATATTAACTGCAGTGACGCTTCAAAGAGAACACTTTGTTCTGCAACAGCAACCCTGAGTCAAAAAAACCAAAAAATAAAAATGTTGCTATTCAGATAATCCTGGGTTCAGATAACAGAGGATGAACTGTATGGCAATGCTGGCCTGGTTCCCAGGAAAACACAAAACAAAACCTGTTTCTGAGCAACACTTGTTCCAATGCATTTCAGTGGGACCTGGGGGTGTTGAAAACTCAGCAGGTGCCTTCAGCACTTCAACATCACCCCGGGAGACAACTTCAGCATCGGCATCTGTCTGGTTGCCTTTCACTCAGGGAACTTTGGGTTTCTTTTTTTTATACTTTTTTTGAGGAAATATCAAAGAAATAAATCTATTTCTTCTTGAAAATTTCATCTCCTGGTTCCTAGTTTCCACCTGGCTGTGCCTAGGACTCGTATCAGTCTTGTATTTCTTTAAATTGAAAAAATCTAAGACACCGAATCAATATTGTGGAAACAAGGAGCAAAAAAAATGTGTGCGTGTGTATGCCGATGGGAGCCAGAGAGGGCTCAAGGCCAGAACCAGAACAGACTCAGACCCAGGAGTAGGACAGGAGTGGAGGAAAACTTGTTCAGGGATTCAAAGAGAGCAAGAGGGAAAAGGAAAGAGAGAGAGCTCATAAGGTCCTTACGGGGAATTTTAAAGATCGGCGTCCATAGTAAATTGCAGTTTGTGACACCAAAGAGAGGTTTCAAACGTATGCCTTGGATGGTAGTGCTGCCTAATGGACCATCCAGCAATCTGTGCATTTCTTAAACTCCTCCTTAGCTGGTGCATGCTCTTTCTACATCTATGTACCAGAAAGCCAATCTACTGTCTTTACATTACCCACAAAACCCCTCAGCAATCAACAATATCCCTAATAGGAAGATCTGGCTCTTCAAACCACATAGAGTCACAGAGTCATAGATTTAACAGATTTCATAGACATTAGGGCTGGAAGGGACCTCGGAAGATCATCGAGTCCAGCCACCTGCCCAAAGGGCAGGAAGTCAGCTGGGGTCATAGGATCCCAGCAAGATAAGCATCCAGTTTGCTCTTGAAGGTGTTCAATGTAGGCACTTGAACCACCTCCGGTGGCAGGCTGTTCCAGACCTTGGGGGCTCGGACAGTAAAGAAATTCTTCTTTATGTCCAGCCTGAAACGATCTTGAAGTAGTTTATGACCATTCGACCTAGTCATCATCCCTTGGGGCGCTCTGGTGAACAAACGTTCCCCCAGATACTGGTGGTCACCCCTGATAAACTTGTAGGTGGCCATCAGATCACCCCTGAGCCTGCGCTTTTCCAGGCTAAAGAGCCCCAGGGCTCTCAGCCTGTCATCGTAGGGTCTGCTTCCCTGACCTCTGATCATGCGCGTGGCTCTTCTCTGGACTCTCTCAAGCTTCTCCACATCCTTTTTGAATTGTGGAGCCCAAAACTGGACACAGTACTCCAGCTGTGGCCTCACTAAGGCCGAGTACAGGGGGAGAATGACGTCCCGGGATTTGCTTGAGAAGCATCTATGGATGCAAGCCAGCGTTTTGGTCGCTTTACTAGCCGCAGCATCTCGCATCGAGAGACCACAGTGCAGTCCAGAATCAGGACCCCTATGTGGGGGAAATATCAAGCCATGCAAAGACCCATATTGTGCCTAAATACCCTATCTTAATTTCAATCTCAAGGGTGTTTCCCAATCGTAATCCCAATCCCAACACCGAGGAAGACATTTCCAGACAAGGACAGCGGGCAAGAGTGCCCAGGAAAATTAACTGCATCTTTTCTCTTTTGTTTGCTGCAAGAGGGTTTGACTCTTTCTCCCCTGTTATATTATACTCCAGAAGTCTCCATTTTTTGTGCAGAGTTCTCTGTGGGTATCTAACCATTGAAGTGGGTTATCAAGGCTTTTCAGCGTTGTTTTATAGGGCAAGTTGCTTTTATGCACGTGTGCCTTGGCATTTACTGGCTGTCATCATTCAATACAGAAAAATCAATAGAATTGCAGACATAAAAAGAGAAAAGAAAAACAGCAACATCGTCGTGTCCCTGGAGCAATTCCTATAGCAAGGGGAGACTGTCATTGCTGAACTACTTAGGACCTGTATTACAGTGCTTGGGGCCAATGAACCAAACGGCAGATTCTGGTGGAGACTGTTCAAAGCTGGACTTGGAAGAGTTAAAAATGGCCAGGTTCCCCCTCTGCAGTGACCGAGAGGCTTATAGTGGGTGATGCTTCAAAGACATGGAGCAGGCTGGCCAGTTAGTGGATGTGTCATTTTCCCAGGGCATTTTGCAAATGGTGATCCTCGGTGAAAATTAAAAGTGCCTTTTCTAAGAGAGACTCTTTCTTTCCCTGACATGTTATTGATAAACACAATGAGGCAGGTAGGCAGATCTCTTCCTGCTCGTGTTGCAATGAATGAACCAATCTTATGAGGCTATTCCTCTGTCTGAAGACAGAGACAGTCGGGAAAGACGGTAGACCATCTTTCCGCAGGTCACACTGCAACCCAAAGCTTGTCTAAACTCTCTCAGCTATACGGTTGGTCCAATAATCAAAAGGAGCTTTGCTCCTTGCATATTCCCTGAACCAGCACGGCTACAGGGACAGTCCAGCCTACTATGACAGAAAAGGCCTTATGTGTAGGCATGGTGAGAAGCATGCCTCTTGCATCTGTCTTATATGCATTGCTCACCAGTCAAAGTCTGCTTCTGTGCAGACACATGGTTCTGATGTCATGGCCCTGGCGTATTTTCCCTGCATGCACTTCTTCTCTGACTTGCGCTTCTTGTAGATCCTCTTTGCTCCCATAATGCATGCTTCTCCCTGCAAAGAGAATCAAAACAGTCAGTCCTCACACCCTCAATATTATTTTTACCATCTCACGGGTGTGAGGCTGTGGTTGCAGTGCACTGAAGAGTGCATTGAGGAGATATGGCTGTGGGTACTGGTGCAGAGATCATGACTGAAGTCAGCGGAGCAGTGTCAATTTGAACCAGCAGAGAATTTAGCCCTGATCCTTCATGTGTGGATCCAGATCTCAATCTGAACTCAAGGTGGTTGGATTTGGGACTCTATTCCAGGCACGTCTTAGAGATCATAACAATTGCCAATACAGACTGATCCCTGGGCAGAAGACTCAGCGCCATCCCGTTTTCTCTCGGCTTTTTTCACTAACCTGCTCTTGGGAACAGCGTAACTTGTTCGTACGTAAATACACAGCATAGATCCAGAGTTCAGGCTTTCAGAGCATTGTTTGCTGTGCACTGAACTCAGACACTTGCTGTGAGAGATGTCTATTCATCACGGAATCAAGCATCCTGCTAAATATTTTCTCTCTGGGGAAATCAGGGAAGAGAAGGCTCTGACTTGCACTCGAAATAGCAACCAAATCCAGAGGCAAGGTTACAGGGCACTATTCCTTTAATAGTTCTGTGTGCTCATAACCAGACACCCTCCAAGATGTACCGTGTATTCCTTGGCATATGCAAGCAAAGAAAGGAATAAACAAAATACATTTGGCTGGCTTGTCGCATGCAACTCCTCTCTGAAACGCTGAAGGAAACAGCCTATGGGTTTCATCATTTTGCACCAGCTGTTGTTCTGGCCCTCAGTTTGTTTGAGCCAGCCAAAGCTATGAACAGTGTCTAAGTACAGACAGTCAACAAGCCCGACGCTGAATTAATTCAGTCTTCGCAGGTTAGTCTAAGCTGCGTAGATTGAACCGATAAGCAACTGAACACACATTCACTTTTGATTCACATGCCTGCAGTGGCCCAGGCCAGAAGGTAGGGGCCGGGGGCTAGAGGGAGTGCTAAAAAACACCTCCCTGCTTGGCTGGGGCAGATAGCTTAGACCATGGCTAAACCACCTACCCTGCAAGAGGGTTTGTGGGGGAGGTACAATGCATCCTGGGGTGCTGGGGGGCTGTGAGTTAACTTGAATCTGGAGGGGATCTGGGACAGAAGTTCAGTAAACTGATTTAACCTTAATCGGTTCAGTCTGATACTACATCCATCCAGGTTTATCTTTAACCATTAAAGTGGTTTATGTGCATTAAACTTCTGTTGTGTTACAAGTTTGAACTGTTTCCAGTCACTTATACTGGTTTATGCATAATTTCTGTCTCTAGCCCTCCTGACTTCAGTATGGTCATGCTGGTTTACACCCCCCAAAAGATGTAGCTCCTGGCTTGGAACAGAGCAGGGGTGTCAAAGTTATGGCCCGCAAGCTGTAGCTTGCCTTCAGAGTCCTATCATCTGTCTCCTAATGCTGTCTATAGGACTTTGTGCTGCATGCAGTGTGTGGATGCAGTCCAACAGGGCTGTATCGGAGCACATGCTGTACCCAGTGCAGGGGTAGGTGCAATCCAGCCCACATACTACTCACCCATGCCACGGTGCCAGATGAGTTTGGCACTCCTAGATTAAGGCATTGAGTCTGTCTTTCATCTGAGTGGTAAGTCTAAGGCAAGCCACGCTGATTTTCTATTAATTATTAAAAATTTTCCAAATTGCCTATAAATGAGTGCAAATACTTTGATGTTGTAAAAAAAGATAATTTCATAGACGTTAGGGTTGGAAGAGACCTTAGCAGATCATCGAGTCCGACCCCCTGCCCTGGGCAGGAAAGAGCGCTGGGGTCAGATGACCCTAGCCAGGTGCATGTCTAGCCTCCTCTTAAAAAGCCCCAAGGTAGGGGAGAGCGCCACCTCCCTTGGAAGCCCATTCCAGGTTCTGGCAACCTTTACCACGAAGAGGTTCTTCCTGATGTCCAACCTAAATCTGCTCTCTGTCAGTTTGTGGCCATTGTTCCTAGTTACTCCAAGAGGTGCCCTGGTACATAGAGCACCTCATATTCCTTGCTGCCCTCCACTTATGAATTTGTAGGTGGCCACAAAATCCCCTCTCAGCCTTCTCTACAGATGGCAGTGGGGTTTTGATCATTTATGCAACTAGCGGGTTCGGGTTACATTTTATTCGAACCCTCCAGAATAAAAAAGCAGCATGTAGAAATTGCGGTGAGGTGGGAAATACACTCCAGGTGACTGTCCAAGCCAAGCTAGAAGATGCCCAGGTGTCTGAAACACCGGCCTCTTTCAGTCCTCACTTGTATCAATTAGACATGAAACGAGATGGCATGTACATGCACATTCTCAGGGATGGTGACATGCAGGTTGAAGCCAGCCCAGGACTGAAATGAAATACAACAGCAGAGCTAGAATCTCATCAGACTCGCTCTGAGCCATCTGGTTCGTGGGGGAAAGAGCTTTGTCTTTGCCCATGTTCACCTGTAATGTTATTGGCTTGGACTCGAATCCAGTTGCAGTGCTGCTTACCTGGCTATGGAGCTGCCAAGGCCGGTAGTCCTCTTCAGCACACCTCCTGTCAAATATGGACTTGTAGTCCACTTTCACCAGCTGCCATTCTGAACGGTGGCTGAAATGTCCAAACACTCTGCAGAGGACAGGAAGGAAGAGTGTATACCCTCAAAAGCAGTGCCAGGCATGGCTCAGTCTAGATTTTCCCCGGATCACATTTTCAAAAGGGCTTAAGTAACATGGGAGTTCAAATCTTAGTGAAACTCAATGCAACGAGCTCTAAAGCACCCAAGTCATTTCTGAAAATGGCCCTTTGCCCCCAAGATCATTTAGGTGCTTTTGGAAATTTGATTCCTAAGATAGTTTATATTTGATTTCACAGATTTCATAGACATTAGGGCTGGAAGGGACCTCAGAAGATCATCGAGTCCAGCCCCCAAATACTTTGGAAATACTTGTCTCTATGGCTAGCACTAATAAGGTCACTTTTTTGGGGGGGAAAGGGAAATAAAGGAAAGATAATATTTCAAAACATCTACCAGAGATGGGTCAAACTTGGGGCTTTGTATCTGAACCACTCTATGTGCATCAGGGTATGGATTTGGAAAGGGCATCTTAAGTGATGAACACGTCTGCAGGCTTTTGGTTCTGGAGTTGGCCCCAAACAAGATTGGTTTTATCCCAGTTCTGGTTTGGCTTTGGGTGAAAGCTCAAGCACAGGAGAAACCTTATGGAACCAGCTGCTTATTTGCAAAAGACTTGCCATTTGCAAATAGCAGCTTTCTTGAATAATGCAGAAGACTGTAGTATCATTGAATTGAAGCTCAGGCTCTATTCTTAGTTCTACCTGAGCCCCCACTACATTCAAATCTGGATGCAGGTCTGTATTTGAAAGGCACCTTCTTTCTTGTGTCACTATTATCTGCAGCGAGCTCCCGAAGCAGGAGTTCGGCCGATTATAATGCGATTCCTTTGCACCAGCCGAGACTGAATTTTCCTCATGTTTTTGCAAATCTGATCCCAGGTAAAATGTCACTATTTATGTCAGGGTGAATACCGATTTATGCACCATGTGAAACGCAGTGTGCTATGCTGAAACTAATCACAATTCTTCATGCAGCAGCCTCAGGCAACACTTTGTCATTCATTCTTACAAAGGAATGTCTCCATTCTTGCAGATTCCCAGTTTAAAAAAAAAAAAATCAAGAGTTACAGCTTTAGAAAGAGCTATTTTTTTTTCACTGTTCACCTGCAAAGGGCACCACTTCTTAAAGATAGCAAGGGGCCAGGTTAGCCTCAAAATCATGTCCCTGTGGCTTGTCAATGCAAATACTTTTCTCTTCAAAGTGAGTCTAAGATGCTGTAAGTCATATTATGTGTAAGCTTTAATGGCTTTTGGAATCACTGCACGACTAGTTGCAATCCTTTGCTTCTCCCATGCACAAGATTTTCCAGGTCCAACCCACCCACAGAATCCAACCACAGGGATCTTAACATGAGGATCTGGCCCCATTCAAAATGTATGGTGCAGTTCCCATTGGATTTGGCTTGCACCCTACTTGTGCTGTACGTCCTCACTTACGTCATGATCAGAGTCTCCTCTCCAGGCTCCCCTAACACGCCGTCGACAAACAGCGGGATGGACGTGAAGCTGTACTTGCTCCAGGATCTCCCCTCATCAAAACTCAACCTAGTGTCAAAAGCACAAATGTCATCAGTCCTCTGCAGGGAACGGAGCTGCCATATTTAGCAAGACAAAATGTAGGAATTGCTATGAAAGCAAAATGAGCTGTGGTTAAAAAAAAACCACTTAATGATTTTGGATGGTCAACCTGCATTGCTTTAAAGGCATCTGGTTTTTGAAATCAGGTCCTTTTAATGGGTCACAGACAGAAAACCAAGGGTGCTGACAGATGTGGGGGGAAAAATGCACTTTACCACACGCAGCAGCCTGTTTGACTCGGCCCTGCAGTGTCTGTATAGATTGGGTGCTACAGCGGGGCTTTTTGGCACTTCTAGCTAAAGCTGACTCAATGAACTATTAAATAAAAGCACCAGAAAAGCCCCACTAAAGCGCCCAATCTATATAGATGCTGGGAAAGCCAGGTGCAAATAACACAATGCCTCTTCTGGGCACACGCTGGGCTGGCTGCAGGACTGCACTGAGTTTAAAGTGCCTTTTTTCTTTTTTTTCCCACATCTGCAAGAAGCCCAAAATATTCTGGCACATAGCTGTTGGCACTCACTCTCATACCCCAGTTTTCTCCTGGTGGACCTCATGGAGAATTTCCAGCCCATTTCTATGATTTCCTTTTTTGACTGGTAGGGCAAACAGACAGATACCTCTATGCTCTTGACTCCTACCATCCAGGTTAATGAAAGGACTGCTTGTTTGGAGGCAGCATAAATGAAAGAACAATTCATTTTTGTGCCTCATAAATCAAAGCTTTGATCATGCCACCCTGGCATGATCCTGCTAAGTGGTGGCCAATGCTTAAGTGGTCAAAACTAAGAGTGATGCTTTAAGAGCATGATGTTTTCTCTGGCCAGGTTTTTTAAAATGTAACTAATGATTTTTATCACTTCCATTTTGGGGTGGCTGACCTGAGACACTTTAAAAGGGTCAGAGTTTGCCGAGTGCTGGAAGCTCCATAAAATCAAGGCACACGCACACACAAGCATGCACACTCTTCAGGAGTCTATTAAGACAAAGATCATATTCCAACCTCAAATTTAAATTCAGATGCCGACTCTAGGGGCTTAATTCTTCGTGTGGGGAAATACAAAGTAGTTCCATTGATTTTAATGGAGCCTTGCTGATTTACCATAACTGAGAACTGGGTCCAAAACATCTATACTGATTCATCACTTGGACTTTTTATTTGCAAAACTGCTAGCACTGCTTTCGCTTATCAGCATGAATGCATATAAATTGCTTAATGGACAAATTCTGGCAATTAGCTAAAAAATGTAGTCATGATCTAACCACCCGGCGGCATATAATCTGTAATGAAGGGCTCCATGACTAACGTGATCAGTGCAGTCACAATAATTACCACAGATGTCTGATAGGCAGAGATGTGTGTTTCATAGCGACCAAGACTCCACCTTGATCCAAGTACAAAACACTGTGCTCCTCTTCAAAGATCTGACAGAGAAAAAAATGCCTAGGTACATTATCCTTCACATTAAGGAAAGACCACAGCTGTTTAAATCCGGGTTACAGCAGATGGGGATATGTTGATTAACCTCCAGAACCTTTGCGGAAATATCTTATTACTGACACAGTTACAATTGCTTAAAGCCAATGGCTTACCACTCCATTGGCAAAGACACTTTTGCCTTGGCAGGTGTCAAGGACAATGGGTTTCCAATAAGACCCTCTTAAAGGATCGCCCATTTTCTGCCTCTGCATCCAGGATCTTTGCTGTATTAACAGAAACCTTCACTTTGCCGAATCTCGCAAAGGCCGCATGGAACAGTTGAGAAAGAAGGACAAGAGTTGGACAAACACTGTAAAAAATTAATGTCCCTGAATATTTGTTCAAGTATTTCAAAAGACTCTCTTTGCCCACATTACATTGGTTACGGCTTTCTGTAAACACTTAAAATCTACTTTCCCAAAGTAGTCAAGCAAGGGAGCTTCAAGTTGTGTTTTGTAAGCAGCTCTCATGCACATTTTAAGGGCTGATCTACAGGTGTACCGGGTAAAGTTAGTAACAAAGGTCCCACTCACTTCAATGGCACTACAGGATCTGGTTCTGGGGAGATGACCTCTGTGAAAATTAGGCTCATCCAATCAGAGCGAAACCGTGACACTGTGGGCGCGTTTACATGAGACGCTAACTGCACAGTAGCTTAATAACACTGTGCAGTAGTGTGCTGGACAAAACCTATGCATATACACTACACTGTAGTGTACACTGCACTGCGGTATTAGGCTACAGCACAGTTAGCATCCAAAAAGACCCGTGCGCCAGTGCTACTGTGCAGACGTGTGCAACCCATCCAAATCCATCCAAAGCAGCTGTTGTCAAGCTGTACATTGGTAGGGACCTGGTCACAAGTCCAAATCATTAGATTTGGATGCAAAATCTATCCATAATATGTATATGATCCCTATTATAGGAGATAAGCTTCTCGCAGTCTGTAATCTTAGCTCCTGTGGGGCTCCTTTTCTCTCCAATAAAAGGATAGGTGCAGATTGACTTGCTCATGGTCACAAGGATGCCTGTGTCAAGCAGGGTCTTGCAATGGCTCTCCTAAGTCATATGCTAGTGCCTTGATCAGTAGATCTCACCCCCAAAACATCCCCAAACTCTGGTATATTAAAACCTGGGCTCAAACTAAACGTTGGCACTAGAAATCAAGTGGCTACTCCTCTTGGGAGGCAGTTCTCAAAAAGAATTGGAAACAAATCGGCGCAGACCCAGCTCAGTTTTCAACAAGAATTGGAAACAAATCGGCGCAGACCCAGCCCTCCTCCCCCAGCTAGCCTTAGTAGCAATTTCTCTGCCATCAACCAGAAAAAGCAAAGATCACCTTCTCAACACATCTTCCTTATATTCACTATTAAAAACTGGGATTTCCATGTTATTTACCTGTCTCCAGGTGTTCCCAGCATCGGACGAAACAAACATGCTGATGTCGCTGTTTGACAATTCAGTACCTATGTTACCTGCAAAGAGAACACTGTTCAGTGATTTAACATTTTCAGACATGGGAAAATTAGCTAACTCAATGGGGTAAATGTGGTTTTTTGGGGGGGTTGTGGTTTTTTTTTTTTTTAATCTCTGTTCAGTCTTGGGCAGCTGTCAGGTCACGGGGGAATATAATTAAAGGTTCAAGTCCAAATCCTTTTATTTATATGTGCAATGGAAATGAAATAGGTAGAATATGATGTTCATGCATTACTGCAATACTGGCATGGAAACAGAACTTTTCCTACCTGAAGCCACGATAATGCTAGGGGCAGTATCTCGGCTGGCGATGTTCCCAGAGGTGTACGGATTCTCCGAAACTTTCAGATGAAGATGTAGAGAACAATAGGGCTGTAGAGAATGGCAAAAAAAAAAGAGTGATAGGCATGCCATAAAGGGAGTCCACTCCCCTGTGGGTCCTTTTTACATCAAAGCAATGGGTGTGAGCAAAATTTAGCATAAAGGCAGATTAAGAATCTCTGCAGAGATAGCGAGAGCATGACTCGCCGTGGATAATATATCTTGCTACCCCTGAATTGGACAGTTGCTGAGTGATCCCTGAATTTTCTTAATTTCCAGTGAAGGTATAGGAATAGGCACCCAGCTCACTAACATTTCTAACATGTGTCCCTATTTGAATGCTGCGGGCAAGCCAAAGAAGAAGTAGACATGTTTCCTTCCTGGTCGTAGGTCAGCTGTACAGCAGCGCCGAGGACCCCAGAGATCATCCCAATGAGTGATGGACCCGATGATCTCATGAGGTCCCTTCCAGCCCTAAATTTCTGTGAATCTGTGAGTCCGGCTAATTTCCAGGCAAGCAAACAGGACTGCTGAATGCATGTGCCATAGTGGACGTGTGACAACCAACTGGTATGGGCCAACATTGCGATACCATTCCCTGTAGCAAGGCAGAAGCAGAGTTGGTGTCCATCCCTGGCATAGCTCTTAGCCAGTAGGATCAATACACGGTCCCCATAATGGACTGTGTCTTCATGGAAAAAATAATCAGGGCCATAGGCTCTGTTGCTGTAAAGCAGCATAGCTCCACGGTACAAAAACAGTTGAGGGATCTGGGTTGCAGCATGATTTTCAATGCTCAGCATCTCCAAAAAATGAAGTCAGTGAATGCAAGCATCTCAATATGGCACTAATGCCCCATAATGCCAAACAGATCTGGACAATACTATTCTCAAGCTGTGGAAATCCTCACTGCCTCCCTTTTGCCCCCAGACTGGGATCACTTGGTCTTATGTGTTGTGTGCTTAAGTGGTTTTAAGGGGCTTATGCGCCCCTCAAGCACTTAGCACGATGTGCCCAGATTTGGCTCTGCCTTTAAAAGCCCTGGAGATGCTGGACCCAGGAAGCAGACAGCTAGAATAATGATGAAATAACAGAACACAAAACAGTATCAAAACAGTAAAAGTCAGCGTGTGATTTAAAAATAAGGCTCTTAAAAGAACATGCTTTTGATAAGGGAGTCTGTCATTTTAAACAAGCTACCTTAGTACTGAGCCATAAATGAGCATATATGCCCACTAAAGCCATGGCTATTGCTACTGACTTGACATGCAAGGCATCCAGTCTTACACAGATGGTTCACAGTATGAAGCCCTGAGGTAGGCAGGTAGTAAGCAGGTAGATATGCCATGTCTGTTATGCTTTCATTCATCTATAAATGCAATCAGCAATAGCCTCTGAAAGCCCCCTTGAAGTTTTGCTTTCCCCTGGCATTCTCTTAAGGCTTTCCAAAAGGCTCTAAAAGGCCCATAATAACATAAGGAGAGCAGGGGAAAAAAGCCTGAACCATACTGAACACCTGGGACATGCATCAGCTAGTCTGCAAACGCAGATGTGCCAAAGTTCAATGCCGTGTTGCAGGGGATATTCATGAGGCAGGACTGGCAGCGAGAGCCTAAGGAAAGGGCAAATCCCAGCCTCTCTCATGACTCTTCCTCCCTCCCTCTTGATTCTGTTTAATTCTACAGATCTCTTCCCTGCTGCAGCAACAAGGTAATCAGCAAGGGCAAAAGCACAAGATAAAAGTACTGAATCTCTGCATTGTGCATTCGAAGGCTGGTGTTATCTATTGCTGTTATTTTTTGGACAAGGTGAAGAACTTGTATCTTGCCCAAGGAAAACGCAAGCCTAACAGGCTGATCCTGAAATGGGATTCGCACTTAGGACTCTTCCCTCCTACCCCGACCAACTGGAGTCACCAGGACTCTATGAATGTGAGTTGTCTTGGATGGGTTTTAGATAAAGGCAAAAAGCAGAAGCATTTAGCAAACCCCTGACAATCTGAGCCTGCTGAGTAAGGAGAGCCAGATGAAGAGAATAATGGCAAGATGGAAAGTCTATAGGTGGTTTCAAAGAGGGGTGATGGGGGAGCCTACTGACTCAAATGCGGGGAGTTTCCCTGTGTAGAGGCCACGAGGAAGAAGGGATGAGGGCGTGAGGTGGAAGAAAGCCATCCGGAGGCAGACTCTGCATCTCCTCTGTTTGCAAAGCACCTAGCATACCCCAAAACCTACAAAGATGAAAGCACATGAACCAAGTACTAGAGTTGGGGGCTGGAGAGACCCACCATTTCTAAGCACTCCTCTGCATATTTGTGCAAGAGTAACACAACGGACCTCACAGAAAGAAAATTTCTGGTAGGAACTTCTGTAAAAAACTGGAGAAAAAGCACAGAGCACAAGTGAGAACGAAGGCTACACCCCATTAGCAGCAGACAGGACCCTGATTCCCAAAGAAACGCATAGAATTTAGATATGGAAGAGACCTCCCTCCAGGTAACACGCTCTTCAAATATTAAGACTTACCAGATAAAAGTCCTCAAGAACGATTGGACATACTGCAAGGAGTTTGAGGGTTGTGGGGGAGAGGGGGACAAAAATGATTAGAGAGCTAGAAATATGACTTCCAAGAAAAGGCTGAACGAACTGGGGTGACTTGGTCTGGAGGAAAGAAGACTGGGGCGGGGGCATGATTTGATAGCCATCTTCAACTCCAGAAAGGGCTGTTATTGCAAGGATGGGTATCAATTGTCTGTGTCCACAGGCAGCAGAAAAGAAGTAACTGCATCAAATTGCAACACGGGCGATTGAGGTTGGATAAAGCAAGAACTTTTTACCAATGAGGGCGGTTAAGTGCTGGGACCAATTCCCTGCAAAGGTTGTGGGAGCTTCATCAATGAAAGCTTTCAAGTACATTTGTTTGAAATGGAGTAGATAGAAATATTCCTGCCTGGAGCGGGGGGGTTTATTAGATGATCGCCCCATAGTCCCTTCCAGCCATATGATTGTGAGAAATATGTGCAATGCTTCACTACAGCACGTTACTTCCAAATGCCGACATCCTCATGCAAGCATTGCAGCATCTCCTGCTTCATTCAGGATGGCTGGACCCCAACAGTCTCTGCACCCTGGCTGTGGACAGTACTTGCACTTAATTATTTAAAACACGACTCTCCCCCAGGTGACTCCCACCAATGTCCGCAAGCAGAACCCCTGCAAAAGGGTGGCAGAGAGGATTTTTGCTGCTTTACAATAGCATTGTCCAAATCTATTTGGCATTATGAGGCACTAGTGCCATATTGAGATGCTGAAGACATACAAAAAACTAGAACTCTTGGTTCCAAATATTGAGATGCTTGTATTCCCTGATACTGGAGATGCTAAGCATTAAACATCAGGCTGCTACCCAGATCCCTCAACTATGTTTGTACCGTGGGGCTCTGGGGATGCCGGCATGGAGAGGAGAGAGGTGAACTCTCACCGGTGCGACATGAAGGAAACAGATAGGTTGAAGCAGATGGGGATGTCACTGGACAGGTGCGATGTGCTACACACCAAACCTGCAGCTGGCTGTGGGAGGGTCAGACTCCATAACAATGCAGAGGAAGATGCAAGGGAAGAAGCCGCATCTGGCTGATGTGCACACAGAAGGCATTAAGAGCAAAGGAAATCTGCCCTTTAAAGTTGTTATACCTTCTGAAGGACTAAATAAAAGAGACACATTTTTAAAACCAACATAATCAAACTTACCCTCTGGCGTTTTTAAAACAGTGGCTCACAGAAATAACTCACCCAATTCCCCACGCCAGAGGAGATTAACTCTCCTTTTAGACTTAAATCCTTTCAGATTCTGCTGCTTGAGATCTGCTTTTGTCTTGTATTTATACCATTTAATGGGAGCACATTGTATAGGTTTAGATAGCAACAGAGTACATTAGACAAGCATTAAGATCTAGTGGGGAGGATTAGGCTTAGAGTTTTGCATGCTACCTATCAAAGGCATGGTAATTTATTGTTGTAATGCAGCAAGGCCTAGCAGCCCCAGCCAGGATTTTGGCAGCACTCAAAGCCTGGCCTTTTCTCTCCATTCACACTGCTAAAACTTGCCTCTAGGTTCTCCTCATCTTGCATCCAACAGCATTCTCCTTGCTAGTGGTGATGAGTGTGACATTGCCCTTCTTACCCTAAAAAACAGGCTATTTTCCTGGACTGTTCCTTCAGCCAGGTCACCCTTTTCCGCTCCTCCTGGGGGGCAGAAGCTTTCCACAGGCACCTGCAAAGCCTAATGATTTGGAAACATCTGAAGCCCCAGGTGTGGGTGAACGATGCTTGCCGGTTGTAGGGCCACTTGTGGTTCTTGAACGACTCACAGATTTGGAATTGATTTGGCTGATCTGGCTTGGGGGACAAACATTTTCCATAAAAAAATATAAAATAAAACCTGCAAAGCCAGTGTCCACCTTCACATCCCTCCTTAGACATCCCTTTAGTTGTCATGCCTACAAATCACACGAGAACAAGCCTGACGCTGCTGTTTTGAGACCGCTGCCCACTACACTGACCAGGGGTGTCTCATTTATGCTCGCTCTTTCTTGTAGCTACATGTCTTTTGTTTTATACAGGGTAGGATAGATCAAGGACCCACTTTTCGGTCTGCATTTCCCACTGCCTCACTCAACAGGACTCTATTCCCACTCAACGGGACCCTATTCCCAGTCAATAGGACTCTATTCCCACTCAACGGGACCCTATTCCCACTCAACACAACTCTATTCCCACTCAACGGGACCCTATTCCCCGCTGGCAGCTCGAGGTATAGTAAAAACCTTGTCGTGACCTAGGATGTTTACAACTTAAAGACACAAGAGAAACAGGGAATGGGAGAAAAGAAATGTTCTTATTCCCACTTCACATACAAGGGAAAAGGGAAAATAAATGACTTGTCCAAAGTCATAGTAACTAAATACAGGTCTCCTGCGCTCTTGCCCAGCCTTTTAACCACAAGACCATCCTTGAAGTCAGTTCTAATTAATTAACCTTCCAGTAAGGGTATCA